TCAAAGCAACGACAGTGCTAAATTCCACCTGTTCATAATACTCGTTTTCTGACCCTTTCATGTAGGTTTATGAAGAGTCCGTTTTACAAGTCTCTCTACTATTTTGAACACCTACCCAAATAGTCACAGTTATGATATTTCTATTTCGAGAAGGAACCTCATAAGTAGTGTTAGTTCTGACTTGTTGTAGCCGTTAGTTACATTAGATCGGAAAATATCTTACAATATTTCCACTTCGTCTAGGAGTGTTATTTCTTACTTGGGCCACTTCGTTTGTCTTTTACGCTGAACAGGTAGCAGATCTATTGATAAATTTACGTTCTAGGCTCATGGACTGCCGACTCGGACATACTTTTCGAGTGAAGTCCTCTGCCTAAGGTTCGCTTATCTTCAGAATCTTTTTCAGATTTTTCGGGCACTGTTTACGACTTCTTTGGCGGAATTGAAGATGTGCAAAAGCGTCGAGTAGCGTTTGTTGGCGACCCTGCTTTGAGAATTCAAGAAGACTATCTTCGGATTCTGCGTTATTTTCGGTGAGAAATTGTTTTTTTTGGTGCTTTTTTTATGACTGTTTTGGTACAGATTCTACGGTCGTATAGCTGAAGGGCCGAATAACCATGAAGAATCAACATTGCGAGCCATTAAAGAAAATGCGAAGGGCCTGCAAGGTTCATTACTTTTGCACTTATTCATGAACTTAAAAATGTGTTGTTGAACGACGCCTGTTTATGAAATTTGGATCCAATTTTAAGAAAATTATTGAATACGGCATTTTACCAATGGATTGTACGTTTTCGTAAGTTTTACATTGGACTGACAAAATGACGTGTTAAAACCAATCTAAGAGAACACGTGGCAGTTATTATAGCATGGACATGAACATTTTGCTGTTGTAAGCATGCTATCGGCAAGCTACAGCGGATGATAGCAAGGACGTGAAGGCCTTTGATCATGACAAAATCACTGTCGATTTTATGATGCGCATATTTGCCTTCATTAAGGCATGTTGTACAGCCTATGTAAACAAACAGATAAGCTTTAAAAAAATCTTTCCTTTATTTTCAATCTCAGCTTGAATCAGAGATTTTACCAGCTAATATCTTTTTCTTTTTTGTTTGTCTCATTGTGATATCCTTTTCATTTTTTCACTTGCATTCCGTGCCTAAGTTGTTTTTCTCTCTCGTTGAAATGGTTTAATTATCTGACTGCTAATCTTTGTTATACGTGTCTATGATATCCTCTGCACATTCATGATTTGTGCTTCTTCTTTCGTATGACTGGAGAAAATGACTATCAGCTTTATAGTTCAATGCCAATATTTCTAAGCCAGTGAATGGCCGCCGCGGTAGCATTCTGGACATCAGTTATGCTAGCGTCGAACTTTCGAAGGGGACATTCGGAAATAATGTGCTGCAAAGTCGGATCATCATGACCGCAGTGACACTGTTGGTTGGACTTCATTTTCCAGCGATGGGGTAGGTGTTCACAGCGTCCTTGTCCTGTTCCAAACCTGTTCAATCTTGACCATTCTTGGCGATTCAAGTCCATGCCAGGGGGTTCTGTGGTCAGATTGGAGATTGGGTCTTTGTTATGGACAGCTGTAGCATCCAACTTTGCTCGCTACCGTTCCTCGAGACTCAGACGCGGTGTCGTTGCTCGTTCCCAGGATGGGTGGCGTGATTTCAGTCGTCGTGCTGGTGGCTGTTGGAGAAACGATGGATGGGTAACTCGCGATTCCTACAAATGTTCTGGAAAATGCGATAGGCCTGCTCGCCCCTCCGGAGGTGAGAAGGTTCAATATGCACCAGAATCGGTAACCACTGTTTGGGTTGGCTTCAGGGTTCCTGTTTCTATTCGCATCGCCTCATTGAGCTGCGTGTCTAATTTGCTCATGTGGCAGCTGTGGCACCAAACAGGGGAACAATACTCTGCGACAGAATATACAAGCGCCAGGGCTGTAGTACGCAGCACGCGGGCACCTGCTCCCCAAGAGGTGCCGGCAAGTTTTCCTAACAAGTTTATTTTCGTCTTGACCTTCTGCTGTGTCTTTTCCAGATGTGGCTTAAATGATAGGGTTCGATCAAGAGTGACACCCAGGCACGTTGACGTCGTTTTGTGCTGGACGTGTTGACCACAAAATTCAACTGTGAGTTTCTCCTTGACCAGTCGATTGTCCAGATGGAAAACTGTCGCGCAAATTTTCGTCGGGTTCCGGGAGTAGCGTCCACTGGTCATAACAGCAAGGTCAGACGTGTGTATGCAGCTTAGCATCTGTAAGTCGGTATGTTCGGTTGCCAGCGCGATATCATCGGCATAAACGAACTTCTTCGACGCTGTTGGTGGGAGGTCGGTGGTCTAGATGTTAAACAGCAATGGAGAAAGTACTGTTGCATGTGGGAGTCCGTTGTTAAGGATCCTTTCCTTACCCGCCCATCGATATGGACCCAGTATCGACAGTCGCTAATCATGGCTGCAATGAGACGAAGAATCTTCTGGCACCTGATGATTCTAGAGACTTTGCACATAAGACCATCACGCCAGACCGTATCATATGCCGATGATGGATCGATCAAAACCACCCCTGTCTTTTGTTTCCATTGGAATCCTGCTTCAGTGAAGCTGGTGAGCAAAAGCAGTTGTTCGCAACAACTTCGTCAAGATCGAAATCCAGCTTGTTCGACTGGTAGAGCGGCTTGAATTACAGGAGAAAGTCGCGTCAATAAAGTTCGCTCCATCAGTTTCCTGGCCTTGTACGGTAAAGAGATAGGCCTGTAACTGTCTGGCCTCCCTGGAGGTTTTCCTGGCTTTAGGAGGGCGACGATTTTGGCACACTGCCAGATGGACGAAATTTTTCCGGTTGTATGGATTGCCGCGAAAAGAGAGGCCAGCCACTGTTGGCACTTTTGATCCAAGTTCTTAAGAAATTCCGGGAGAATTTCATCCACACCAGCGGCCTTCTTGTTCTTTTTGGCCAACAGTGCCACGTTTATTTCCTCTAGAGTGTACAAGATCGATAGTGGGCTTATTTCAGATCAGCTGTTAAGGGCAAGAAAATATTCTTTCTGCATTATCTTTCGGACGGCTTTATCTGTCGGTGTTTTAGACGTATGGAGGTGAGCTGCAGTGGCGTCAGCGGAGACTTTCGCTACTCGGTCTTTGTGGTTTTAGTATCTCCAAGGTGGCGGAGCAGTGCCCAAGCCTTGCAAGTGGAATGTGTGAAATCCAGTGTTTCCAGAGTCTTCCACCATCATTTCTGCCACTTTGAATTCAAGGATTCAACAAGAGCAGTCGCAGTTTCAGGAGATCCTCGGCGTTTGTACTCCATGTAAAGTTCTTCTGTCTCTTTCGACCAGCAGTGCAGGTTTTCCGGAATCCATGAGGGATGTTGTTTGTCGCAGCAGAGATCAATATTCAACCAAAAATGTCAAATGGTTGAAGCGTAGACAAGACCTGTTGAACACGGTCTTCGACTTCGGCAATGTATGATGACCAGGTTTGCTTTTCGAAATTCCGAAATTTCGAAATGATGGTTTGCTTTTCGAAAGTGCCAGCGAGGTAATGGAACAGACTGAAGTGGCGGTTCCTGTAGACTGATTTGGAGCACAACAGGGCAGTGCTGGCTTTTTGGAAAGAATCCAAGCACTGTCCTGGAAGCAGGAAGCAGAATGCCACTACTGTCTTTGGAGACAGAGCAAAGGTCCGGGCTAAGGTCAGTCTTCCATCTTGCTGATGTGAAAGTGCTCTGCTGTTTAGCATCGTGGCGCAAGCGTACACCAGCAGCTGATGCCCAGTCGGTTAGTTGTTCACTTGCCGCATTGTTCACGGTGTAACCCCATGAAGGATGGTGGCTGATAATTCGCCCGCATAAACAGTTGGGTGAAGCATCATGGTAATGGCGTGTTGGCCAATTGGTTCCGGGACGCTTATATAAGTTCATTATAGTGATACCTCCGACTTTCATTGTAGTAAATTCTACACCATTTAGTTCGATCGTTGTTCACAGACCCGATTTTCGTTGCTGTCTATCATCACGACATCCTTGAGGTCTAATCTGGCGTATGTAGCTAGACCGTGTTTGAAGTCACAGGTATTAGCGACCATATTGAACACAGCAAATTTGTATCCGGCTGCTTTGCAATGATCTTCGATGTGCGTCTCTTGCAGAATGACGATCAAACTTGTTTTCATATAACGTCCTCTATAGGTATTCGCATTTTGCGTAGGAAATGCCTTCGACGTCCAGCTGAAATATGCTGAGCGTGTGGCCCACGGCTTCATTTCTTTGGCCTTCATAAAGATTGTTGGGTTTCTTTGCTCTTCTTCTATGGCCCTCATAAAGACCGTTTGATTTTTTTTTTCCTCTGTGATCCTCATAAAAGCCATTGGGTTTATTTCGTACTGGTTTACATGTTTGGTTCTGAGAAGAACCGTTAGATTTGTTGCTAGTCGAGCCGAAAAATTGCTTTCGTAACGTTCGGCTACCAGGTGGCGTCATTCGTTGCATTGTTAAGCTTTGGCGTACTTTTGCAATGCGTAACAGGAACACCACATGAAGGCTGTCATCTTGCCCCCATTTATTTGTGCTGCAGAAGGAACACTGTTGTGGGTTGCAGATGCTTCACTTATTAAATATATTTTGTCCAGGCTTCTAACCATCTTTTTCTTAATCTGTTATCGTAACAGCCTGTTTATGTATTTTAGAACTGAACGAACTATTAAATTTAAAGGTTGGGTTGAGTGTAGTTTTAGTTGACGTTGATGCTGTGGAGAGCTTGAGTAGGATCACGAAAGAGTCCTGCCTGCTTGGCACCAGAGATTGAGAAATATATTCTCAAATTATGTAAATTAAATAACACTGATAATGAAACAAAGAACCGAAACTCTGACAAAAATGTGCATTTATTCATAAGAATATGTTAGTAAGCCCTTAATTTTTCAAAATCGTGGTTTCTTCGTTTACTGCGCTGTTCCTTTTGTCAACGTTACCTACAGGAATCATTTATGCAGATTATGACTCCGTGGTTTTGAAGCACCTACAGCGCTAGATGCATTCATGTCATTTTTCCCTTTAGTTTCCTTCTCATCACCACTCATGTTTCAGTAACCGGCTCCTGAAACAGCGTTCATGATGATCAGAAGAATGTTATAGCGAAAGAAAGGATTAGAGATGCATCTGACACGACAGGCGTGTAAATGCCATTGAACCATTTTGGAGGCAAAGAAATGTTGGCATCGATTTATAATCCGATAGACTACCATCTTTTATGCGTTGCGTATGAACCGTTTCGTACTGGGTTTTCAGTATTGTTGACAACCCACGAACAAAACAGTCCGTTTATGATTATACCAATAAATTAATGTTTAACATGGTTGGCTGTAACATACTTCCTTCACGGTTCAGGTAATGGCCTGAATTGAATATTAGGTTCATGTACTTAAGATACGTATTAAACATATTGTGTCAGATAGTTACAACTGAATTGAGAGATGTTTTAACAGAATTGCAATTGCATAACTATGGGATCAAGAGATCGTGTTGTACAAAGCTCTACAGAAGTACTTGGAGTTTGAAAACAATAAATAACTTACGGTGGCTGTTCAGCGGGAGACAAAGGATGACAAGCATTCATCTCACTACTATGGCATTACCTTTTTCGGATTCTTTTGCTTACTTATATGATTTTAAGCGGTTACATTTTTAATGGCTGTAACTTACTTAGGTACAGTTTGAATTGTAATAGGTTAATAAGAGTGTCATGTGTTATCTCCTTTCTGTTCGATTTTATCCTTCGAAATTGCTTATTGAAGGTAAGAGCATTTATCTAGATATAAGCGGCGAGAGAATCTGGTTTGAACTGAAGAAAATCGTTGTTGGTAATTTCGCTG